CCCCTCACCCTCCTGGCACCGTGCCCCGCACCACAAATCGCCACGAAAATTCTAGCGGCAAGGTGGGTGGAGCGAGGGAGAGTTTGAGAGAGAGAGAGAGAGAGAGAGTGAGAGAGAGAGTGAGAGAGAGAGTGAGTCTTGAATTTATGAAATTATGACATTGAGACCGCCGGTCCCGGTCGGCGAAGAGCCGCGCTAAGGCGATGGTTGAGCGGGTCGCGGCCAGGAGCTGGGGGATTATTTTCGCAAAACCAAAATATGAATATAAATAAGAAAGTTTGGATCGGTGGCCAGGGGAGGGTTATGTCTGGCAAAGTAGTATGGCGCCTCTTGTTGACTGTGCGATTTCTGTTTGTTGTTTGTTCATTTCGATTGTCTCTTTCCGTTGCCAACAGGAGCAGCTCCACGTCCAGGCCGACGCCGCCGCGAGTGCCGCATGCCAGGTAAGAAACGATATCATGTTCATTTTATACTTTTGATGTATAGCTCGTCCGTCATGCAGGGGCGGTAGGCGAAACGAAATTAAAGAAGGAAATGCAGAAATTCGGTAGGCAGAAGTCAGATTCACGATACTTGCACATGCCTGAATGTAGTACATTTATGACAACAAAAAACGGGGTTACGCCCAGCAAATGTGCTCTTTGTTTCTTGAAAATGGTCGAACTGTAAACTTTTGACTTTATTTCTAGGAAAACTTCCTTAACATAAGTATTCTTTTTGCTGCTAATCAACGAAAATGTTTTAAATTCAGGTAGAGTTTCCTTATCCTTAAATTTCCTTAAACCAAAGAAATCATTTTCTGTGCACCACAAACCATTACAATCGGGGTTAGAGGGTGCGGAAGGTGCTCTGTGTTTGTAGTCGTAGTGTAATCAATCGTGATAAATCAGGGATCGTTTTCTCAGTTTCCAGTGCTTGCAATAATCTCGTGACGTACTCTGTCTCTCTCCTAGAAGGCGTCGCCGCTCGCGTTCCTCCCGCTGCTGGAGAGTCTCCGCGGCGCCGGGCCCCGCGGCGCTCCGGTGAGTCAACACGGGACGAGCTCAGGGGGCGAGCTGCTGCCGCTGCCGAGGCGGCCTTTTACCCCTAGTTGGGTCCGAATAGACTTAGGCCGTCGCGCGCGCCTTTAGGGGTGTCGGTGTGAGCCGCACGTCACCTGTGGAGTGAAACAAGGCGTACTGTGCATCTTGAAGGCCCTTCTGCTATGGGTCCAACGGCGCGCGAGCGAGCGAGAGAGAGGGGGGGGGGGAGAGAAGTGTATAACTCGCTTGGCGAGTCAAAGCTCACACAGCGGCTGCTCTAGTCTGTGTGCGTGCGTGCGTGGGTACGTGTGTGTGTGTGTGTGTGTGTGTGTGTGAGCGAGCGCCCCGCCCTCCCTTCTGTGACGCCGCGGCGCTCATCAACACAGACTAACGACTTTGCGCACAGGGCCCTCGCAAGGAAGAGAGCAGCTAAAGTAGCGTGCGGTTGAATGTGACGAAAATAATGACACTGTACTGTGACCAGGGAGGGAGAGGGGGAGGAGGTGGTAGTGAGACAGAGAGAGAGAGAGAGAGACAGCGTGGCGGAGAGAGCATGGTGCGCTGTGTTGATATTAACCGGATAACGCCCTCATCTCGCCATGGCTGATGACTCAGGTGGGGTCGGTGCAGCTGGATTGAGTGAGGGTGGGTGTTTCTGTCCGCTAATCGGTTGATTCCGCTTGCCCCCCCCAGGCGGGCCGCTCTTCCGGCCTCTCTCCGACTTCCGGTGCCGCCGCTGCCCCCGGGCCGCCCACCCCCAGCAGCTCTGCGCGCTGGAGCTCGCCCCCGCCGCCGCCCCCGGGCCCGCCGCCGCCGCCGCCTGCCGGGCCCTCGCCGCCGCCCCCGCTGCACGGCCGGTCCCCGGCCTCCCCCGCCGCCATGGAGCGCGCGGTGACTCCCGTCCAGGACGGCGCCGGCGACGCGACGAGCGAGGCGCCGCTCAACCTCAGCAAGCCCAAGAGCGTCCGCAGCGCCAGCCCCGCCCTGCCAGGTGGGTACGCCATTCGCTGGAATTCAGGTGCCATCCTGGGAAACACCAACCCGAACTCACTGACTAGACATGTACATACCACGAAACCAGAAGGCATTAGTCGCTAGACTGTACCACACAGCACGCTGGCGTGTCCACGGTGTCGCCTGCCGTCACTGACCGGACCACGGCCCCTTGCGGCTCGCGGTAGGCAACCCACCTTGCACGCGTGCATTGCGGTACAGTGTAACTCTTTTGGTACAGTCGGAAGAGGAAGTCTACGTGAGATATTACTACTCCCCCTGCAACGTGAAGACGGCTTTTGTTGTCCTCACAGCCCCGGCCGCGCTGCCCCAGTCCCCCGTGCCCCCGCCGCCGCCACCTGCCCCCGCGCTGCCCCGCACCTTCCTCGGCTACCCCGCCGGCCTGCCGGGGCTCCCCTCCGGCCTGCCCGCCCTCGCGCACCTGGGACTGCCAGCTTCGGGTGAGTACATTATTTTGTTCTCCGGGAGCGCCAGGGCTTCTACTTCACTTCAAGAGTACAGCTATTTTTTTTTCGTACTTATTTTTGTTTCCATTGTTTCTCATTTTCTTCTGTCTGTTTTTGATTTTTAAAATAAATTATCCTGAATTTTTTTTTTGATTTTTCCTGATTCGGATTATGGGTGTACACAAATATCGTTTTTTTTTTAAAAATTTGTGCGTGAAGTACCCTTGTTTACCTCTCGTCGGACATCGCAGGCAAAATGTCCGGGCTCACCTCCGCGCTACCCTCGGGGCTGCCGCTGCGCGCGCTGTACGGTCTGGGCACCGCCCCCGCGCCCGTGGCTGCCCCCACCGTGCCGCCTGCCGCCCCCCGGCCCGCCCCCGAGCGGGACGACGCCGGCGGCTGGGCGGACGATGCCGTGGCCGGCGCAGCCGGCACAGCGCGCTCGAAGCGCGACGCCGAGCCGCACATCAAGCGGCCCATGAACGCCTTCATGGTCTGGGCCAAGGACGAGCGGCGCAAGATACTCAAGGCCTGCCCGGACATGCACAACTCAAACATATCCAAAATTCTAGGTAAGAAGTTTTTTTGGCGGTCTTTCCCGAATCTTTCTGCAGTATATCCCGGATTATCCACAGAAACCTAACCATGCTTCCTGCTTATTATTATAGCCCCATAGTTTAGCGTGTGATAATTCCCCCTCTATCTCTCTGGCGCTGCCACCTCGCTCACACCAAAAGAACAAGAAGATAAAATGGCTCCTGCATTCGCTAATTTGACATCTAATCAGAATATTAGATAGCCTAACTAAATATTAGCTAAGACACCTAAAAAGACACCGCTAATTTTGCTTAAAAATTAGCCCTTTGTTGTCCAAAAAAGAGTGAATAAATCTTAACTCTCTTAGCTAATAATTAGCTAATCGAACTCCTTTAGCTGAGGCGAAAGTAAGAAAATATGATAGCTATTTTACCTGATTCTTATTTTTCTTCCACCTTGCTCCCTAGGCGCCCGATGGAAGGCCATGACCAACACGGAGAAGCAGCCGTACTACGAGGAGCAGTCGCGCCTCAGCAAGGACCACATGGAGAAGCACCCCGAGTACCGCTACCGGCCCAGGCCCAAGCGCACCTGCGTCGTGGACGGCAAGAAGATGCGCATCTCCGAGTACAAGACGCTCATGCGCCAGCGGCGCAACGAGATGCGCCAGCTCTGGTGAGTATAGCACGCGCGACGGCTGATGAGCAGCAGGTGAGCAGCAGCAGCGCCGGCTCGGGACCCGTCTGTTTGGAAGTGGAGGGAATATCCTAGGAGCCGCCACACCGCCGCCGCAGCCGGGCTGCGACAAAGGCGCCCGTGCGATGCACTATTCATATTCATGACTCCCCCCCCCCTTTCCCTTACTCCCCCGTTGGTGGTAAGACGCCCCGCTTCCCCTCCCAGTAATCCCCTTCTCAACAAGATGCACGCAGCAACTCCCCCCCCCCTTTCCCTAATTGAGAAACATGGTGACTTCGGTGCTGCGTGGCCCCGGCCGGCCCGGCGTGGAGCGCCGTCCTGTCCGTTTCTGCCAGCTACTCTCACCCTCCCCGGCGGGTGGCGGGCCGGGGCCGGGGCGGGGCGGGCCGAGCCGGGGGCTCAAACAACTCATCAGGTCATTCGCCATAAGTCTGTGACGCCTAAGTAATTATGCATCCTCCTGGCGGCGGGTCGAAGTTGGAGGGCAGTGCGTCGAGGGCTCTGCTGGGCACTTTTAAAATTGAATCAGCACTGAAAGGGAAGAAGGGGGGAGGGG